CTTTCCCTTTCCAACTGATAGTGAATTTGTGTGGGCAATCTCTTGTTTAGATTCCTGAGGAAGGCATAGACAATACACTTTGGAAACTTCAGGATTACTTTTAAGTATTCATAGTAACAATGCTAGTAAATATTGAAAAGGTAATGTTAAAATTGTAAAATGAAAGTCAGAAGAAAACTCATTGGTCCAACACGCAGGGTATGGTTGGTAGCTTTAATTCCTACATATGATATATCTGAGTTGGTGAAATCTTTAAGAAAATTGGTCCGTCACTATGGGACAAATAACAGATGAGACAGAAGCACACAGTGATCTCTGATCTCATAAGGCAAGGTGACATGAGATAACAAAATAACCTTAGATTTTTTTTATTAGTCCAGGAAAGTGTAGTCTGTGCTGTAGACAAGATATACATAGAATTAGACAGCAAGGTACTTGATTACACATTGTCATACCCTTACAAACACCAGATCTATTTGGTTAGTTACCATCAGGAATAAGTACATGGGCTAGATCACTACTGCATGGGATAGGAATATTCTTAGTCTACATCCTGATAGTATTAGGCATAATAAAATTCATCCTCTATTGTCTTACACACCTAAAAGGCAAAAGAAGGCCTCATGCTAAAATGTTGATGTACATTGAGTCTGCCCACTCCAACAATGCCATTGATGAGAACATCGCTCTTACTTAATAACCTGGTGAAGAACCAGATGGTATCTGGTGGAAAATCAGCACCATGAGTTTAAACAGCCTGCAAAGGCCGCCATCTAGGAGCTCAACCAAGTCCAGGTATTGATCATCAATGTGTTATCTCCAATCTCCGATCAAAAGGAGGGACTGATTTAGGAAATAATACTGGAGTTATTATTCCCTCTCCTTGAGCATACAGGATGTGACCCAGCAGAAGCTGAGCCCTCACAGGCTCACAAAGACACATCATCTGGGCCCTAAGACAACAGATGGGACAATCTCAGAAATTACCTTAAGGAAGTTTTCACAAAAAGGCAATAAAACCTAACCCAAAGGACTTCTCACCTTTTGTCTTTTTCTATTAACATTCAGTGAATAGGAATTTGTTGGACCAATGAAGACCCTCTTGACTTTCGTAACTGAAACCCGTACAAATGATGGTTAAGAAAGATGATTCAGAATGTAAGATTACAAATTTCTAGCCAATCAGTGAAAAAGTGGCACTTTCAATGATTCTACCCATTTTGTGATGTTGATATATACTGATGATTCTGTAACCTTCCTTGGACTCGGGCAGACATGGCTCTGGCAGCATGCTTGTCCACTTCCCACTTCTGTCCTTTTGAATATATGCCAAATAAAACTTTTTTTACTTTAAAAAAAAAAAAAGATAAATGGAATACACAGTCACTGTACCAAAAATAATTGGTCAACGTTCAACCATTTAAGGAGGTAGAATGTGATCAAGAACTGATGGTATCGAAGGAAGAAGTCCAAGCTGTACTGAAGGCATTGGCAAAAAACAAGGCTTCAGGAATTGACGGAATACCAGTTGAGATGTTTCAAGAAACAGATGCAACGCTGGAAGCACTCACTTGTCTATTCCAAGAAATTTGGAAGACAACTACCTGGCCAACCAACTGAAAGAGATCCATATTTGTGCCCATTCCAAAGAAGGTAATCCAACAGAATGCAGGAATTATCTAACAATATCATTAATATCACATGCAAGTAAAATTTTGCTAAAGATCATTCAAAAGTGGTTGTAGCAGTACATCAACAGGGAACTGCCAGAAATTCAAGCTGGATTCGGAAGAGGATGTGGAACAAGGTATATCACTGCTGATGTCAGATGGATCTTGGCTGAAAGCAGGGAATACCAGAAAGATGTTTACCTGTGTTTTATTGACTATGCAAAGGTGTTTGACTGTGTGGATCATAACAAATTATGGATAACATTGCAAAGAACGGGAATTCCGGAGAACTTAACTGTGCTCGTGTGGAATGTGTTCATAGACCAAGAGGCAGTTATTTGAACAGAACAAGGGCATACTGCGTGGTTTAAAATCAGAAAAGGTGTGTATCAGGATTGTATCCTTTCATCATACTTATTCAATCTATATGCTCAGCAAATAATCCAAGAAGCTGGACTATATGAAGAAGTATGTGGCATCGGGATTGGAGGAAGACTAACAAACTACGATATGCAGATGACATAATCATGCTTGCTGAAAGTGAAGAGGATTTGAAGCATCTACTGATCAAGATCAAAGACTGCAGCTTTCAGAATGGATTACACCTCAACATAGAACAAAAATCCTCACAACTGGACCAATAAGCAACATCATGATAAATGGAGAAAAGATTGAAATTGTCAAGGATTTCATTCTACTTGGAGCCACAACACCTGTAGAAACAGCAGTCAAGAAATCAAACGATGCATTGCATTGGGCAAATCTGCTCCAAAAGACCTCTTTAAAGTGTTAAAAAAGCAAAGATGTCACTTTGAGAACTAAGAGGCACCTGATCTAAGCCATAATATTTTCAATCACCTGATATGCATGCGAAAGCCAGACATTGAATAAGACTGTAGAATTGATGCATTTTAATTATGGTATTGGAGAAGAATACTGAATATACCTATGGACTGCCAGAAGAATGAACAAATCTGTCTTGGAAGAAGTACAACCAGAATGCTCTTCAGAAGCAAGGATGGAGAGACTTTGTCTTATGGACTTTGAACATGTTATTAGGAGGGACCAGTCCCTGGAGAAGGACATTGTGCTTGGTAAAGGGTCAACGAAAAAGAAGAAGACCCTCAATGAAATGGATTGACACCATGGCTGCAACAATGGGTCAAACAGAGCAACAATTGCGAGGATGGCACAGGACTGGGCAGTGTTTTGTTCTGTTGTGCGTAGGGTTGCTATGAGTCAGAACAGACTTGACAGTACTTCACAACAAAAACATATTTGTGTGAGTTATTTCTGTACTCCTTATTCTTTTTTATTGACCTGTTAATTCATGTTTATAGCAATATCACACTGTTTTGTTTACTGTACTTTGTAATAAGTTGTCAAATCAGAGAGTGTTAAGTTCTTCTTTTGTTCTTTTTCAAAGTTGTTTTTTCTGTTCCAGTTCCTTTGTATTTCCATATGAATTTTAGAATCAACTCAATAATTTCTACAATAAGAGACTATTGGGATTTTGAATCATTAGATCATTTTAGGGAAAACTGACATCTTAACAATATTGCGTCTTTTGACCCCTGAACAAGGTATCCATTTATTTAGGTCCTCTTTAATTTCTCTCAGCAATATTTCATAGTTTTCAGTGTACAGATCTTTCACATTTATAGAACACTCCATTGAACAACAGCAGAATTCACAAACTTTTCAAGTGCACACGGAACATTTACCAAGATAGATCACATTCTGGGTCTTAAAATAAGTCACAATAAATTGAAAAGGATCCGAGTCATACAAACTATGTTCTCTGGCTACCAGGGAATTAAATTAGAAACCAGTAACAAAAGATCTCTGGGAAATCTCCAACTATTTGGAAAGAAAACAAAACAATTCTAAGTAATCCATGGTCAAAGATGAAATCAAAAGGGCAACTAGATATTTTGACCTGAATGGAAATGAAAACAGAACATATTGGAATTTGTTAAAAAAACAGTACCATTTGCAACAGCATCAAAAATTATGAAATACTTAGGGACAAATCTGACATAGTCCCCTGCCAAACTGTAGCTGAGAGAGTGCATGAGGTTGAAATATACAGACCTTACTCTCTCTTGCTCTCTGACCTCCTATCAAGACCTACCATTGGCTAAACCCTACTGGGGACAACAGAACAAAGGAGACTGCTGATACAGGTTATAAACGTCAGCCTCTCCAGACACAGAGCAGGTGGAGAAGCAGCAAAAGGTAACTATCCAGAACAATGATAAAGCTCTAAATTGTAGGCCCCATGTTCATTGTCAGCTAACAAATAACTTGAATGCACTAAGGGGGCATGTTGGTAACAAGTGAACAAAGTTTCCAATATATGTGAAGATGGAGATTTGGGGCCACCACCAGAAGCTGTATTGCACAATATTTGTACCATGTTGCATTGTACAAGAAGAAACTTTGGTCATCCAACTCAAAGTGCTCAGTTGAAGGCAAAATTGGGAATTTTCATAAGTGGTTTTTCTTTAGGACTGCCACACATCCCATTGTACCTATCATAAAGGAGAATCTCAGTAAAAACTTCTTAAACAACTCTGCAACTACTCTGTAGGTGCCACATCAATTGGTTTTATTCCTTAATATTCTACCAGCCCCAAATTCCTCATTATTTATTCTTCAACATCTTATCACCCTTTAGAAAAGCAGCTACCATCCAAAAACTGTTCTTTGTGTCCTCACATCTGGCCTGATGTCATCAGCCTGACACTGAAGTCAATGGTCATGTTTTATTCATTTTTGTATCTTGCAAAGTGCTTTACAGGAATACTAAATAAATGTTTCATCTTTTTTTCCCTAATACTTGATTGCGTCCTCCGAATCTTATGGAAAAGATGCCTTGAGTAAATGAATTTTTTTTCCCTGAGTTGTGACTATCGACCTTGCCTATTAGTCAAATTTAATTTAATATTGCACAGAAAATATTCAGCTCTCTGGTCATTCTCTCATATGTGTGTGTGTGTATATATATATACATAAATCTCTGTCTCATATATGTGTGCTTATATATATGTGTGTGTGTATATATATATATATATATATATATATATATATATATATATATAAACCAAACCCGTTGCCGTCGAGTTGATTCCGTCTCCAACCTATAGGAGAAGCGAAAAGATCAAAGTAACCTTGTTCAGAATCAAACAGTGTAAGAAGCATCACCTCCATTCTATTAAAAAGAAAAAGTAATAGGTGAGACTGTGTCTGCTGTGAGGTCATTATCTGTGGCCTTTACCTTGGTAACCCCTCCCCCCACAACCACCACCAATCTTTAAGGAGAACGGCATGTCTGTTTTCAAGTCTGTGTCGTCTGGGACCAAGTTCATTCTATTCTATTTCGACAGAGATATCAGGACCACCAGGAATCCTTTGCGCGGGGTTGCCATGGACACGGAGTTCTTATTGCAGTACTGCCTTGTTTCAAGCGCCAGGTAAAGACCTAGGGGTGGGGGTCTCTGAGCAAGGGGTCTCTTTGTCGGCTAATATTATCTTCTCACCCTCGTCAAGAGAGTATACCTAAACCAAACCCGTTGCCATCGAGTCGATTCCGACTCTTAGCGACCTGGAGGGTAGAAAAGTGTAATGTCGGTTTTAGAGCGGCAGCCCCCGCGCGGCTGGGGGACGGGGTCTTTGGGCCCTAGACGGAAGGTTTGCCCTGTCCCCAGCTGCAGGGACCACTAATTGACGTTCCTCCTCTCCAGGGGCCTCTCGGAGTTCCCTTGCCTTGGGGAACTGGAACAAACAGGCGGATGTAAAGCCAAAGTAGCAGTAACTTTCTTGCTGGCCAGGAATAGGGTGAAAGTTCGGCTTCACTGCCTTTGTTTTGGGAAATTAGAACAATAAAATAAAAAAGAATGAAAGAAAGGAAACGCGATTACCCTGAAAACAGCAGGACAAGGAAACTGCTACCAGGATCTTGAGTGAAGTTCGCTCCCACTTAGGGAAACAAACGAAGTCACAAGATCCGAGACCTACTGCGCCCCGCCACCTCGTCACCCTCCTCCCCATCGGCCCGCCGCCTCCTCCGCCTCGCCCCGCCGCCTCCTCCCCCGCCCCTCTGTCCCCATATCCTCACCTCCCCACCCCTCCGCCCCCAGGCCCTTTCCAGCCGACCCGAACCGGACCTGCTAAGGCAGCCCCGCCCTCAGGTAGGCGCGGACTGGGTTTGCAGGGAGGGGGACCCCCCCCCCAGCAATATCTGGTTCTGCCTTCGTCCTGGCTTGCCGGGTCACATCTCTGGAGCATGAAGCTGTAGCCTCGGAGTTTTGAGCCTCCTCCTCCTGCTGCTCGTGAGCTGGTACTTCTTAAAGATACGGGATTTACTGGTGGTTGTGCCCCAGACCCAAAACTCAGTAGCAACACTTACGTCCAAATTGGTTTATTTATTTTTCTTTTTTTCAAAAGTGTTTTTTCTATTTGTTTTCATTTTTTTCTCCTTCCAAGAGTTTAGGGGGTTTATGGCTGATATCTGGCTGCCTCAGAATAGATATCATGTTATTACTTATTAACTTCGCAATGTACTTTGCAATGCCTTTTTATTCTCCAGTGACTTCCAGTTTTCCTACGTGGCTCTGTGAGATGTTGAGGCGCACAACTGTTTGTTCTCCCACTCCTGTGTTTTATTCCAGGACAAAATCATTATTAATCACTATAATGATGTAAAATTGATGTGAAATGTGTTTTGTTTCACTTTTTGGGTCCTTTGTAGGAAACAGGTCATCTTTCAAGTGTTCTTGAGCTAAATTTAAATTTTGTTGAACATTCAATTTTTTTTCTCTATTTTTTGAGCTAAATAACAAGGGTGAATACAGAATACATGTTTCACAGGGTTGATAAAATTGCACAATATTGTAGATTTTGTAAGTTTGTGGATTCAAGGCTTTAGAAATACAGATCCATACCTAGTAAGTTTTATGGGTGACTTTCTTTTTATTTAGAGGATACCATGTGTGTTTTAAACACACTGAATGTAAAATTCATATATGTTTTTCCTTTTTTTTAGAGTAGTTGTAGATTAAATTCAACCACAAGACAACACCATGCAGAAGTTAAAGAAGAACCCTTTTTGTCTCTGTTTTTTATGTCACCGAAGTAGTAAGTAAGTGATATGACTCAAATATACTGAATTTTAAACATAATTCTCAGCCTTGGTTAATGGAATAGGGAATACATGTGTACCTTCTTTCCTAAGAAATGTGAGCTGTATGCAAATGAATTTATGCATGTGCTTGGCAAACTCAAAGACCTTGTTCTGTGCCTGTACTTTCCTTAAAAATCTTCGGTTTAGCAGTATGAGAACATGTACGTGCTGGTTTCTTTAAGCTTATCCTTCAGCTGCAGCTGGTAGCCCTAATGGAGGATTCCTTCTAGGAAACTACTCTCCAGAGGTGGCCACTACAAGGGCTTTAGTTGTCCCATCTTGATAAACGCCTGAAGCATCATTAGTTACCACAGTGAAGGTCATAAATGGATTATTAGTGAGATTAAAAAAATAAAAAACAGTTGCCACGGAGTCAACTCCAACTCATGGCAACCCCATGAGTGGCAGAATAGAACTGTGCCCCATAGGGTTTGCAGTGGCTATGATCTTTCAAAAGTACATCACCAAGGCTTTTTTCCAAGGCACCTCTGGGTGGGCTTGAACTTACTTCCAACCTTTCAGTTAGCAGCGGAGCACGTTAACCATTTGCACCACCCAGGGACTCCATTAGTGAGATTAATGGCTTATAAACTAGCAAGTTGGATGTTAGAATTGCATTAAAATTCAAGATATGTGTGTGAACTGCCTAAAATATTTTAGAGACAGTGCCACCTTTGTATAAACAGGATATATAAGAATCTAATGTGTGAGGTCTATAGTATGTACCCTTAGGGATGACACCTGAGGCTTAGTCCCTATATGGTCCTGGCTCCAAACACTGGTTTACAAGAATCTCAGCCTCTGGAATGTTGGTGTATCTGCAGGGAATGAACCTTTCATGTACAGTGATACTTGGAGTGCCTAAAAGGGCAGAGAGTTTACAGTACAGGTTATATGAACTTTTCTTGATACTAAATGTTTATTTGATGAGCATCTGTATGTGTGGCAGATTGGTCTGAGACTGCCTGTCATCATAACCTGTAGCATGATAATACGTGGCTACTCTTCCAAAAAGCACCTAAGCAGTATGTACAACCAAATTAGTTAGATCAGTATGTAGTACCCAGCTTCTTTAGAAGGTAGTTTAGCTACCTACTTATTTATGCCCCATGGGGAAGTCACAATTTCTTTCCCTAAGAAGTTTATAGAGTTATTGTTTCAGGCTTTATACAACACTCTCCCTGAAAGGAATTCAGGTAACATCTAGTGATGTCTTGTGCCGCATTTATAGATTGGTACCCTGGCAACTTCCTTAGCAGGTGTGGCCTGTCATCTGGATCTGATGAGTAAACTGAGTATCTGATAGTTCTCTTCTTCAGTAGAAGCCATCTGGAAAATAGTCATTCAGTATGCCTGCCTATGTAAAAAACTCAAAATTCTTTCCTTTTTGGTGGTCCAAACATTTTCCCTAATGTGATTTATCAGTTTATTCTAAACAGTCAACCCTGTTGGTCTTCCCTTTTGAGAAGCAGCTAATACCTATAGATGTCTTTCTTTTATGAAAGATAAGCTTTCCCCTCCTAAGGCCTGAAGGAACCTCCATGAACCATTCTTCAAGAATGTCAGGACACTCACCTAGAATTAGGAAGGCACTTTCATGGCTCCTCAGCCCTGGCAAGAGGGATTTAAAGATACAAACTCTAGTCTTTTTTCCAAACAAGTGGGAAGAATGACATATTAATGTCTATTTTTGCTTAGAGTTTTAAACTGTTGATAGAGCCCAAAACTGATTTGTGAGGGAGACTTTTAATTAAAGAGTTAAATATTTTTTTTAATACAGTGTTTCCAAAATGTGTTCTGTGCACATTTCTTCTCTAATTAGGAGTTTCTGTGGTCAAATAGGAAACCTTGGTGGCGTAGTGGTTAAGAGCTATGGCCGCTAACCGAAAGGTCAGCAGTTCAAATCCACCAGGCGCTCCTTGGAAACCCTATGGGGCAGTTCTACTCTGTCCTATGGGGTCACTGTGAGTTGGAATCGACTTGACAGCAATGGGTTTGGTTTTTTGGTGGTCAAATAAGTTCAGGAACCTCTGAATACCCCAGTCCTCTCAGAATCATGGTGCTTATCAGCATTCAAGTCCCACAGCGAACAAATGTGTGCAACCAATAATTTCTCAAATTTACTTCAACATTTGGAAAGTTAGGTTAAGTGTAGTGGCTAAGAGCATGGATTCTTGAGTCAGAGGTCATTCCTATCTCAGCCCTACTTCTTCCAGGCTGGTGTTGATAGGCAAATTATTCACCCTCTCTGTGACTCATTTCTGTCATCTATAAAAAGGAATAATAATATATACCTTATAGGAGTAAATGAATTATTATATGTAAGGCATTTAGAATAGCACCTGGCACATAAGTCCTATTATTGATGTTGATGCCTATCAATATCTCCACAAACTAGTATTCCATTATATACACTTTGGGAAATGCTGCCAATGATATATTTAATATGACCCAAGGATGCCACTAGAACAATTACTAGTGTGTTCATTTGAGATTTGTTGTGTAAAAAAGCATTTCCTGTGAAATTTACCTATTCATCACTTGCAGATTTGAAATTTATAGGCATATATAATGTCTAAATGTAAAAGCTAGACAATGAACAAGGAAGACCAGAGAAGAATTGATGCCTTTGAATTGTGTTGGCAAAGAATATTGAATATACCATGGACTGCCAAAAGAACAAACAAATCTGTCTTGGAAGAAGTACAGCCAGAATGCTCCTTAGAAGCAAGGATGGCGAGACTATGTCTCACATATTTTGGACATGTTATCAGAAGGGATCAGTCACTGGAGAAGGACATCATGCTTGGTAAAGTGGAGGGTCAGCAAAAAAGAGCAAGTCCCTCAATGAGGTGGATTGACATAGTGGCTGCAACATTGGGCTCAAGCATAGCAACAGTTGTGAGGATGGCATAGAACCGGCAGTGTTTCGTTCTGTTGCACATAGGGTGGCTATGAGTAGGAACTGACTCGACGGCACCTAAGAACAACAACATAATGTCTAAAAGTTCACTTGAAGAAAAGTTTTCAGTGCTAAAAAATGCTTAAAAACCATATATATAACAATCATGAAAAAAAAAATGGAATCTTCAACCCTTTCCACTATCACCAAGAAGACTTAAAACAGTGTCTAAAACCAATTTTATATCCTTTTGAGATGTGAAAGATATGATTCAGTTAACAAAAAGCTATGGGATTAAACTGTCTATTCATTCTAAAATTTCAGCATTCATTTTCTTAGCATTTTGACTAGTCATACAACTGTTTCTAAAGTCAACTTAAATGGTAAGG